ACTGTATGACTGGTTGCTTAGCGAAAGATACAGCCTGCCTGAGAAAAAAACAGGGTTATGGTCGTGCCTTCCCTCAGTTTTGGGCACCCAGCAACTCAACCATATTTACAGCCATTTGCAGCATCCCACAATCACACAAACGTTCCTTATGATGGTTTTGCTAAAAACCAGATCTTCACAGACCATCCCTTAAACCTGAGCCAGCAGCCAAAAAATGCTAAGGCAATTCTGGGTTGTATAAAGAGGCATAGAATCAAGACCATGCAAAGCATTAGTGCCGCTTTATAAAGCCTCAGTAAAAGCACACCTGGAATAACTGCATCCAGTTTTGGTTACATTACATTATAAAAAAGATGTTGAGATTTTGGAAAAAGCGCAGAGAAGAGCAACTAAGATAATTAAAGGTCTGGAGACTAAAATATATGAAGGATGGTTGCAGGATTTGGGTAAAAGAAGGATGGGGGGGGGGCATGATGGCAATATTACAGTATTTGAGGGGCTGCCACAAAGTATTCCAATATTTGAGGTTCTCCTGCTTGGGTGGGGGGGTTGGACTAGATGACCTATAAGGTCCCTTCCAACTCTGTTAATCTGTTAAAGAAAAGGGGGTCAATTTATTTTCCAAAGCACCAGAAGGCAAGAACAAGAAGCAACTGATGGAAACTAATCAAGGAGAGAAGCAACCTGGAATTAAGGAGAAATTCCCAACAGTGAGAACAATTAACCAGTGGGACAGCTTGCCACCAGAAGTCATGAATGCTCCAACAGTTCCTTGTCTGGCCTTCAGGTGCTTTGGAAAATAGGTTGTCCCCCTTCCTCTCTGGGACAGCCCCTCAGATATTGGAAGACTGCTACCATGTCGCCTCTGGTTCTCCTCCTTGGACTTCCAGATGGGCTGGGTTACCATCTGCCAAAGATGCAGAGGGTCGCCTTTGCTGCTGCTTTCCAACGCTAGGATTTTGTGAAATAAATATGTGCAGGGCTAATCTATGATAGATTTCCTTGGCTGTTAAAGAAGGCGGAAAGAGGGCAGGTTGTAGAAGTGGGTCACCTGGGAGTTATTATCCCCATTGAACCTTTGGGTGGGAGGGCTGGCCACTGGGCAGGAACTGTATGGCGCAGCCTGCTTCGTTTTCTGCAGGAATGAAAATCTGTTTGGTTTGGGTTTTTCTTTTTTCAAATCTGGATCAAGTTTGTCTCCACTTTAGGGTATTAAAAAAAAAAGGGTAGGAACCCTCATCCACTGGAAAATAAACCGAAGGAGGAGATACTTACATCTTAATACTGGCTTTTCCAATTCTCAATTTTCAATCGTTGACTGAATACCAAATACTCCTCCAAAGGGGTGAGGGGTTTGCAATACTCCTGTCTCAGGCTCTGTTCCCTCCCCACGTGGTTTGTGGTGGGTTGCACAGTCAGCCCAGACTGCTAAGTCTTTTGCAAAAGCATCCTGTAAAACTGGCAAATGCAGCACACGCTTTTGCTATGTCTGTTTCAGGTTTTTTTGTTTTTGTTTTTAATTTCCCCTCCAGGTTTATTTTACTCTGTGCAGCCACCACTGCTTGCTGATGCTTTTAATCACGCAACACCCCGTAGGGCTCGAAATTCTCCATGGCTCCCCATCATCTCCCCACCTTTCCCTGTTTTCCTCCCTGTTTGCAAGGCATTGTGGTGGTTTTATCAGAAGGCTCACTAGAGAAAAACCATATTCTATGACTCCTGAATTATGTTCCGTTGCTTCCAGCACTCTTTCCCAAGGAATCTCGTCTCGGGCAGAATCTGTCGAGGTTCTTGATTATAGCTATGTAAAACTTGGAAAATACGTTGTCCCCCTGTAAGACAACTCTTAAGACTCCCCTGAATTGCCTCGACACTGCCCATTTTATTGCCCTTTTTCCTGAAAATTGAAGAAATGGCGAAGAGATGCTGCAAATTGGGGATTCCTTATTTGCTTGATAGTTCCAAAAGTCACCAATAAGGGAGAATATTTATAGCTCAGGGTTGAAATAAGGGGTCCTTGGTCTCCTCTGAGCTTGGTTGTTTTTTTGCAGATGTTTCAGAACAACAAAATTGGAAGGGCCCTTGGAGATTCAAATTCTCCATTTTTAATCTTCCAATCCAACCCCCTGCTGAAGCATGAGACTCTATACCATTTCAGGCAAATGATTGTCCAATCTCTTTTTTAAAATCCTCCAACGTTGGAGCACCCACAACTTCTCGAGGCAAGTTGTTCCACTGATTAAATGTTCTAAATGTCAGGAAATTCCTCCTTAGTTCTAGGTTGCTTCTCTCCTGGATTAGTTCCCATCCGTTGCTTCTTTGTCTTGCCTTCTGGTGCTTTGGAGAATAGCTTGACTCCCTCTTCTTTGAGGCAGACCCTCAAATATTGGAAGACTGCTATCATGTCACCCCTAATCCTTCTTTGCATTAAACTAGACATACCCAGTTCCTGAAAGCGTTCTTCATATGTTTTAGCCACCAGTCCTCTAAATTCATTGTAGGTAACATCATCAGTACTAGTCCCACCATAGCACCAGTCACTAGCACTGATGATGTTACCTAGATGGGCAACAAAACGTCTGCAAGAAAACAACAAACTTAGAGTCTACCAAGTATGCATCAGTTCCAAAAAATAGCAAGAAGCCTTGACAATATAAGAGAAAACTCCCCCTCAACTGCAAACAAAAGTGATGGTATTTCTGAGTGTTTTTCTAAACGCTCCCTTTCCAGAAATTAGTGCTTCATTGTCCTTATTAAATATGCCTCAGGTTTTGGTAGAAGGAACATTCACCTTTTCCACAGCAGCCTGATGAACTGCAGACCCTAAATTTGATTATATTCCTTTGGGTAAAGCAAAGACTGAATTTAACGCAGTGACTTCATGCCTTCTTAACACGGGAGCAAATTCCCCCCTGAAGTCAGTGCTGTGAAATCAACTTATATAACAGACATATATTACACAGGTTTCTGGACAATAACCTTCATTAGATGCCTAAACATAACAAGGTACCGGAGTAAATCACTTTAACGTGGCAACACAAACATTTCTCCAAACTGTTGCTATTTCCCGGTCCATACCTTCCTGCTGTGAAAGCAAACGTTGTGTGGAAAATTGTTTTATTCATATTTTAATACAGCTGCATTCTCCTTTCACTATTTCTTCCTTCCCTCAATCTGCCCTGACAATACCAGGCATTAGTCTTGAGATCCAATATATATAGTGGAAGTGTGGCCACATATGTATGTATGTATGTATGTATATGTATATGTGTGGCCACACTTCCACCTACATTGTTCAAGTTGCACATTTGAAGGGAGAAGCTCTCAAAAGATATGAATATGCTTAAATCCAAGAAGAAGAAAAATTATATGAGGCCTCTGGATTATTAGTAACAGCAGGGCTTGGATGGCTTCCTTGGAATGGAGGGTAAAACGTTATCCACCAAAAAACAAGACAAAACTATACTCAAGGAGCACAGAGGATTTTTTCCCTTGGTCCCTTGCAGAGACCAAGGGAAATAATTTTGGTTATAATTTTGGCATTTTTTTTTAATTTTGTTTCCCCCCCCCCTCCTCTCAGACCCTACAATATAGCAGAAACTTTGGAGAGGGAAGGGATGCTTATGAATTGACTTTCAAAAGCCCCATCCCTCTTGATTTCAATTGCAGTTTTATTTTATTTTTTAATAAACAGGTCCCACAGCCTGTAAATCCCACTGATCTAACAGAAAAATAGAGGCCTCAGATTAGATGGATGATTTCAGGAGGAAACAGCACGTGTTTCCTAAATTTTACAAGAATTTCTTAAATACAAAAAATTGTGAATTCTCTCCCCTCCCCCCCTCCCCCCGGGGAGATTTTTTTTGGTCCCCTTCTCCAGGTGCCAAGGGGCTAGTTTTTCCCTACTTTCTCCAGGATAAGATTGAATAATCTTAAATAAATGACCTCCCTCTTGTCCTTTGCTTTCAGAGACATGTTAACCCCAGGTAAAGCATGACATCCAGGGGAACCTCTTTAGCCCGAAAGGGAATTTATTTCTCCTGAAAGGAAAAGTTTCTGCTTTGGTGGGCCAGATACTCAGATGCTTCCTCAAAGGGGGATGTTGCCAACAACAACAACAACAAGAACAACCTACTGGATGGCATCACTTAAATCAGATTTCTTTTCCTGCCCAATTGCTTGTAGTAATTTATCTTTCCAGCGCAAAGGCAGACCTGTCAATCTCTGATCCAGGGAGGGGCACCTGTGACAGACTTTACAACTGGGAGTTCTGGGAGTTGAAGTCCGCAGGTCGTAAAGTTGTCGTCGTTGCCTGCCCTTGCTCTTATCATAGGTGGCAGCAACTTTTTGGAAAAGCCTCCACAGATTTGGGCTGCACCCCTACACACACCTGTTATGTTCTCATTCCTCCAGGCAACCCAGCTCCAACCCCTCCCCTCCCCTTCGATGTGGATGAGAGTAAGTGGGTGTGAAATTTGATGAGGATCATTTTTATAGCCAACACATTTTATTCCTGGCACCTTGGCATCCTGGCCCTCCCAATGTTGTGTTGTGTTTCCATTTTATTTGAAGACTCTGCTTTTCCCTTCCTGGACCTGACCTGTAAAAGCCCCCTCCCCCTTTCAAAATGGCTAGCAAGGGGTTGTGGTCAGAATCTCTGTGTCTAGTTCGTTCCTTCCCTTACCCATTTTTCATGCTCCTCGATAAAATTCACATTTTTCTGCTGTTTTGTGTTGAGATTGGGGCCATAACGGGGAATTTTCTTCTTCTTCTTCTTTTTTTTTGTTCCAAAGGACACAATTTCGAGCCCTCAGTTTTCCCTTCCCACTCTATCCCACCTTTTTCTAACCGTTGTTCCATTGCAGTTATTTCCTTTTTTTTTTTTTTTGGTCATTCGACTTAGTGACACATCTCTCATTTTATTCCAAACTAATGGCTTCAATTGAAGGAGAATTTCTCCCTCCCACTCCCCACATATATCTTCTCTTTCGCCTTCCCAGGTATGCTGAACCATCCACCGATCCCCATTTCGGAGCTGGCAGATCACACGGAGCACCTGAAAGCCAACGATAATCTGAAGCTGTCTCAGGAATATGAGGTATGAGTTGGGGGCTCTGTCAAAGGAGGTGGGAAGCATCACCAAGTGATGGGGTGGCAGGATGAAAACCCCCGTAGTGAAAATCTTCCTTTCTGCTTAGAGTCATAAGAGCTAATCAGTGTGCAATTCCATTTGGCAAGCAGGTAGACTGCACAGGCCTTGAAAATCATTCGGATTATGCGCTAACTTTCAAATCCATTTCTTCCATTGATTAAAGCAGCCTGGTGTGCTTTAGCCGTGCAATCGCACATGGACAACTGAGAAATTGCTTTACAGAAAGTCCTTGACTTACAACCATTTGCATAGCAGCTGTTGGAAACTACAACGGACCTGAAAAAAAGGACTTACGGCCGTTACACTTACACTGATACCCTTTGTCATGCCCCTGTCAGAATCTGATTTGGAGGGGGAGGCGGAACAGCTGACAGGGAGGGGGAGTGTGGCTGTGGAGGAAACTGGGGAAGGGCAAAGTCTGGCTGGGCAGAGCAGGGTAGAGGTGGAACAAGGGAGAGGGAGTTCAGAGGAAGGCCCAGGCCCACCCCCTCTTCATCCTAGGGCATGCAGGGAGGAATGGAGAAGGAAGCAATGTGAGTTGCGTGACTTACGAGGAAGGAAAGGGCCCTGATTCCCTTCATTAGCTGCAGATGGGAACACCGTGTTTAAAAAGGGAAGCTGCGCACAGCAAAGGAGCAAGTCATGAATTATCTGTTATTGTCGAGGCTTATCTGTGTTTCTGATGTCTTCCCAACTATGTGTGTTTTGTTGCCCTTTGAAGTCTGCAATTCCCAATCCTTCCCTGTCCAGTTAATGGCTGCAGCCTGGTTTGTGTGGATTTTTAGTTACAGTTTTATGTACTTTGTTTTCGGACTGAATTTCCTCCATTAAAGACTGTTCTTGGGAGAGTTTTTTCTCCAGCCAAAAGTAACCTGGACATTGGGGGCAAAATTGGAGGTATTAAACGGACTCTTCTTGCTTATTTGACTGTGTTTCCTTTGTGCCCCACCCCGAGTCATCACACCCATTGCAATATCCCCGTAGTCACGTGATCAAACTTTGGCTGCTTGGCAACTGATTCATATTTATGACGTGATCCCCTTTTGCGACCTTCAGACAAGCAGAATCAATGGGGAAGCCAGATTCTCTTAACAACCAGGGCACTAACTTAACAATGGCGGTGGATTCACTTGACAATTGTGGCAAGAAAGGTCGTAACACAGGGCAAAATCTACTTAACAGCTGTCTTGCTTAGCAATGGAGGTTTTGGACTTGACTTATCAGAAGACACAAAAGGTGATCACATGACCCCCCCAGGACATTGCCACAGTCGTAAGTGTGAAAAATTGTCATAAGTCTCGTTTGTTGAAACTTCAAATGGTCACTAAGCAAACGGTTGTAAGGCGAGGATTAGCTGTAATCTCAGTCTTCTCCATCACTAAAATTCCAAAGTATTGCTCTTAGGAATGCAACTTTTGTCATGGAGGTTCTCTCCATTCTTCTTGTTTCTAGATATTGCTGTTTTCTATAGTTATTTCCCATCTCTATGGCTGCCTGCAAGAAGCACATTTGGGCAATGTTCCATAATCACCAAGACAGCAAATCTATTTTAAAAAAATCTTTACAAACATTATTTAAAAAGTCATTATTAAAAAAAAAAAAAACCTATCGAAAATTTAAAATGTTGTTATTGCTGCTATTCTCCTTCAGGGAAATAAATACCTGCTCCTCTATAAACCTTCCCTTCAGGTTTAATCTTGATATACCAGTACTGACATGAAATAAATGATAAGATGGACTGGGAATAATATTTTATCAGAATGGAAAGATCGGTTTCTCTATCCTCTTAAAGCAGTATATTCCAGCCTCTGGGTGTGTGGACCACAATTCCCAGAATTCTCAACAACAGCGATGGCTGGCTCTGGAATTCTGGGGTTTGAAGTTTACACCTCTGGAAATTGCCCAGGTTCAGAAACAGTGCCTTAAAGCAGGGGTCCCCAACCACCGGGCCGTGGACCGGTACCGGTCCGTGGAACATTTCCTACCGGGCTGCCGGTTTGCTGGGCGCCGCCATCTTGTTTGACGAGAAAGTGCTTCCGGGTGAGCTTTTCCGGTTGGAAAGCGGCGTTTGGGTCCTGAAGGAATCCTCGCGCCTTAGTTTCATCGAAGGGGGTGGTGGCTTCGAACGAAACTAAGGCACGAGGATTCTTTCAGCACCCAAGGCAAGGCGAGCCGAGCGACCGTCCCGAAGCCGTCCCGAAGCGAAGCCCATCGACAAAGGTACAAAGGAGGAGTTGAAGGTGGCGGGGAGAAGCGGGGGACGGCTGGCTGGCCGGTCGCTCGGCTCGCCTTGCCTTGTCATGCGTGCTGATGCCGGTACCGGGCCGCGGATCATTTTGTGATGCTGGTACCGGGCCGTGGCACAAAAAAGGTTGGGGGCCACTGCCTTAAAGCATCTTATTAAGCTACCTGAGTCTGCACCAGGGCAGCTAAACGGTCTTGATTCCTGCAGTAATCCTCGGTTGGTTCAGATTCAAACACGTCTCTAGTTTACTCTGAAACAGGGGTGTCTAATTCGATTTCATTGAGGGCCGCATCGGGGTTGTGTTTGATTTTGGGGGGCCAGAGTGGGTGTGGCCAGCTTGACATCACTCTTGTCGGGAGTGCCTGTGGTGCCAGCGAAAATGGGCTCCCGAGCTCTGTTTTCGGCTGCGGTGGCCTCCTGCAAACTTCTGTCAGTGAAAACGGAGCTCGGGAGGGCCAACTCTCCTGAGCTCCGTTTTCCCTGGCAGAGGGCTGTAGGGTGCCATCACAGCTGAAAACTATGCTCAGGAGCCCATTTTCGCTGACAGAGCTCTTGGGCCACCACAGGTGCCCCCGACACGAGGGACATCGAGCTGGCCATGCCCACCCTGGCCCCCTGAGGTCAAATACCATCCTGATGTGGCCCTCAATGAAATTGAGTTTTGACACCCTTGCTCTAAGAACAAGTTTTGTTTGTCCCTGAGGATGCCATGGCATCGTTCTATCCCAAAGTCAGTACAGACAAGATATTCACTTGATCAACATTTTGACCCAAACACCCACCACCATACAAATACCCATGTGTGCAAAATTCGATCCAAAAAAAACCTAAACCTTCCAATGACTTTGTGTGCACGCATCCCTGTAGTGTATCTTTCTCTTGCTAAATTGCCAACACCACAGTTGCAACCGCAAGAATCTATTCTTATAGCAAGGTCTTGGCACCTAGACAGCGCGGCTGTGATGATGTAATAGATGCATCGAAGAGATAACCCTCTGCTCCCCGAACGTCCCCAGCCCACCTCATTAATTTCATAAAAATGAGAATAACAAGCACTGTTGTTAGAGACGGGAGTTTCTCACTGTTTAACTGTTGGAAGTGTGTGTTTCGATTTGAAAGTTCTTGCTAAGAGTGTGATTGTGTTCCCTCTGTAGAGCTGCTATACTGAGTTTGCCATTTCTGAACTTGATTGGCGCGATGAATCCTTTCTAATTTTTGTTTTAAAGAGGAAAAAAAATCATCAGCTCTAAAGGGGTTACGCCCACGCCACATACCCCTGGATTAGCCCGGTTTTCTGAGTTTGTTGGGTATACAGTATATGCAATCATCTTAAACCATTTTGGATAGGAAAAAAAAATCAAGCCATAATTAAGACTAATCATATTTAATTTGTGGAAAGCAGCTGCTGACCGCGATTTGACCTGCTGGTTTGGGTTATGAAGAAGGTCAGGATGTGGTACCAGTGACGTTATGCAAAAAAATTAAAAAAAAGGAATAAGAAATACCAAGATCCCAAAATGAAAGTAGGACAGGGGTCTTCAAACTTGACAAATTTAAGACTTGTGGACTTCAACTCCCAGAATTCCCAAGCTAACATGACTGGAGGAGGAATTCTGGGAGTTGAAGTCTACGAGTCTTAAACTTGCCAAGTTTGAAGTAGGAGATGAGAAAAACAGAAGGAAATATAGTCATCTTCGACTAGTGGACTCTTCCCATCACAGTCATAAGTTGCAAGAGTCGTAAATCTGGGGACCTTTTTTTGTGTCGGTTGTTAATCAAATGCCACGTCCATTAAGCAAACATCATGATTGTTAAGCGAAAGAGTGGTTTGCTATGGATGCGGTTTTGTCCAAAAACAAAAGTAATTCAGAGCTGAAGAAGCTTCTTGGATGAGAAGCAAAACGTCTTCAAAGAAAAAACAGAAAGTCCAGTGGCCTCTTGAAAAAAAAAAGCACCTTTGGGACAAAGGTAATTACCAGTTTTTGGTAAAACAATTATAAAACAGAGCCAGTTTAGTCTAGTCGCTAAAGGCACCAAGCTAGAAACCAGGGGGCCATGAGTTCCAATCCCACCCTAGCCATGAGAGCCAGCTGGGTAACTTTGAGCCCAGCCCACCTTGTTGTGGGGAAAATAGGTGGAGGAAGGAGCGTTAGGTACGTTGGCTGCCTTGAGCTATTTGTAAAAGCCATGAAAGACAGTTAGATATATAGATGAAAGAGAGGGGGAGAGAGAAATTCCTCTGCTTACCTAGGAATAATATAGACCATGTTTCGCAACTTTAACCTCTTGAAGATAGATGAACTTCCAATTCCCAGAATTCCCGTTCTTGCCTTTTTTGAAGGAGTTAAACATCCTTATTTTAAGAAAGAAAAGGCAGCTCTTTATGTGGGAATGGCTGGAGGAAGGATGGAGGAGCAACGCGGCCGAAAAGACCTGGAGAATCAGAGAAGTAAAGCTAAACAGGGCCTAATAATAGGAAGGGCGATGAGGCAGGAGAGAGAGATTTAAAAAAAAACACTGCCCCTGGGTCAACTTGGCAGAGAAGGAGGCCCAACGGTGGATAAATTCCAGCAAGGTATAGAAATAACTCCCCAAATCTGTTTCCAGCCAGCTCCAAGCAGTTTTTACAGTGTATGAATTGCTAATTGCCCAAGTAGATGATCGGAAAAGATTCTCATCTCTGCAGGGGCCTTTTCTAACCCATCTCAGCATTCGGGCAGGGCGGGCTGGCTGGCTGGCTGGCAGGCAAGGAGAAAGCTAATGTATTCTCTCTGCCAAGGCTTATTGCCGTTTCCCCCTGGTGCCTAATCTGCATAATGTAATATCCAAAAGTGCTTTTTGGCTTCCTTCCAGGACAGCCACCTCCTCCTAAACTGCAGATTGAGATTGTTTTTTTTAAGAAAAGAAAAGAAAAGAAAAGAAAAGAAAAGAGAGAGGGGAGGGGAGGAGGGAAGAAAGGAAGGAAGGAGAATGAGGAAAGAAAAAGAGGGAGAAAGGGGGAAAAGGGAGGGAAGAAAGGAAGGAGAATGAGGAAGGAAAAAGGAGGGAAGGGACAAAAAGAAAGAAGGAGAATGGGGAAGGAAACAAAGAGAGAGGAGGGAAGGGAGGAAGGAGAATGAGGAAGGAATATGAGAGATGGAAAGGAAGGAAGG